AGAAGTTTGAAATTTCTTTAAATAAGAAAGACATTTTTTTGTTTCCGATAAAAATAAGATATCCGGCTTGTGCTCTCTCCATAAATCCTTTAAGAAGTTCTCTGTCAGTTCAGCCCCTATTCCCTGACAGTTCCAGCTCAAGATCTTCACGTATGAGCCGGTGGTTTCGGGAGATCCACCATCCCTTTCTTCAAATTACGATTTGCTCTTCCAGCTTTTGTCACCTCCTTAACCTTATTCTTATCAGCAACTTTTTGTTTGATACCATCATCTGCAGATTTAAGAGACATTGCTTTAGCCAATAAACGTTTCCCTGGAGAAGCCACAATCCTAGAATAATCCCTATTACCATTTATTCCCCGAATTCCCTGGCTACTAGTTCCCTTAAAATTCTGAATCTTTTTACTATCAAGAGTAATACCTTTCAGACCTTTACGAACCAAGCCAATATCATCAGATAACACATTAGAGATTTGCACATTACCTTGTAAGGCAATCATGTTCTCCTCATGGGTCTCATTTCCTTCATCTTCCGTAGTCTTCTCTGCCATTACTTGAACCTCTATGTCCTCCTCAGCATGGTACTCGCCATCTTCAAGGAGATCATCCGTACTCTCCGAGAAATTAATCCCTACTGTAAGGCTCTTGTCTTGAACCTCTGGTACATCTTCCATCACCGAATCCTTCTTCTCCTCTCCTAAATCTGGAATCTTAGAAACATTTTCAACCTTGTGAGAAGCCTGGGATACCTTAGAGATTGCCTTTGGTTGATACAGTGGCTTAGGCCACACTGGCCCTGCACCCTTCTTTGTGAATTCTGTTCCCTGAACAGAGTAATGAGAATCCATCAAGCCCTCCATAGCCACTTCTTTCCCAGCCACTTCACTGTTCTCAGCCCAAGTCCCAGGGAAACTCTTTTTTTCCTTCCAACCTGATGCATGATTTTTGTCATACCGCCTGTGAGACTGCCTACTGTTATCACCCCTCTCCAATTGGTAATGGAAACCACCACTAGGTTCCTCACCAGAGAATTCCAAAGCTCTCTTTGCTGTAGGTTTTCGTGGCTTTTCCCAGCCTCCTTCATTACCTTGAGGCATCTGTTTTACCATTTGTTGCTGTCTTGATCCACCTCTTCTATCCCCATACTCCTCAAACAATCTGTTTCCCGCCTTCTTATTCAGCTCTGGACAGACTGCTACATCATGAGTCATTCTAGAACAGTGGTGACAATATTTAGCCAGCTTCTCGTAATCTAAAGAAACCACCACTTCATCACCTGTGTCAAAGGGCACCACCATTTGAAACACAAGTGGATTAAAACCATTTACTGTGACATAGATACTACCTGAATCCACATCAAGCTCACGAATTATACCTACTTTTTTTCCTATAGCCTTTAGTGTTGCTTCTTCCCACAAGTGCATTGGTAAATCAGAGACTTTAACCCAAAAATTAATTGGCGACGGATAAGTAGCGGAAATTATAGGCTCCCACTTAACCAAAGAAACCATCCAGCCATCAAAATGATAAGGGACGTTCTGCAAAACGCCTTGCATATCCTCTTCAGACTGAAAATTAAACTGGAAAATTCCTTTCCCTAAATCTGCCCCCACCACCTTTTCTTCCATCTTCCAAATTTTTGGCATGTTTGCCACCAGAGAATCCATCCTCTGGATGCTCGGGTTCATCAACCTACCAATCAAGGTAAGGGAGAATTGTTGGATCCTTTGTGACAGCATAGACCCAGAAATCTTCACAACCTCAGTGCGCACCATTGCGGTCTTACCTTTATTCAAAGCTAACTGAGCCATTATAATAAACCACGAACGCAGCCTTACAACCTCTTGAAACTGAAAGAGAATAAAACGAATTACTGTAAGTATTTGTATTTTTGCTACCTTAACTTGAGAAAGCACAATGAGAGACTCGTGAATCCTAGTAGTCTTTTTATATAGACTCCACCAGAAATAATCCCTTGAATCTCCGTAGATCAAACACAATAAAAGCCAGATCGACCCAATCTCCTTAATTCCCATGAAAGATAACACGATGTAATTATTTTGAAAAGAAGCTTGGAAGCGATAATGAAAAGAATCCTTAATCTTACCTTTTCCAAAGATGAAGAATATTCGGATCCAAAATCTCAGTTCTTTCATATCCCTCCATTTGAATTCCTTAAGGCCCAGATCACTTACTGATTTACCCAATCCAGCAGATCTTATTTGATTGACCTTTACCCCAATCAATCGAAACCAGATCCCCCGATATTTGTCTTCCACAGGACATCGAATCCAATACCTATCCCAAACAAATCGATATCCTAATTCCCATCTCATCCAATCAAAAGCTACTATAGAACCATAAAACACTTGAGATCCGATGAAATCGACCAAAAATGGAACCATAGTTCCTTCGCAGCCATCCTCGACCTTCACCAAACCAGACCAAAAAAGCAACCCCGAGCCTTTCCCAATTGATTACCCAGAACGAAAACCACAAGAAAAGATGGGGAATCTGATTACCCATCTCACGACCTAGACGTCGTCGCCGTCGCACTCAATTGAAAATCTATTTATTTTATTGAATTGAAAATAAAATAGGTATTTGTCTTTTTTCGTTATTTATTTTTAATGTTTTTTCAATTTATATATATTTTGTTTGTTTTGTATTTTTTTTTCGTTTTTTTCTCAATTTTCGTTTTTTCGTTATATAATTTTTGATTTTGTATTTTTTAATTTTCTATTTAATTTAATTATTATATGTTAATTATATTATTTTATTAGAATTGAAAATAAAATGGGTATTTGGTCTTTTAACACAAAAATTGTGTTATTCTAGTAAACCACAATATAAATCAGAACTACTACCAAAAAAATATATATATATATAAATCAAAACTTTGTATTTTTTTTTTTCCGAATAACTATTTATACTACTTCCTAATCACTCGGTATTTGGTCTACCTGATACAAATTGTTTCCTTGTTTATGCGAATAGCTTTCAACATTACTTCAAATGCCCTGACCGTCACACCTCTCTTAATGGGTCCACGTTCTCTCTCGGCCGGTCCGCTACGTCCAGGAGGCTTTAAAGACTTGTTTACCGTTCCTACAAATCACCACATGATCTTTTCTTGTGTTTTGTCCTCACTCACACAGTTTCGACAATCACTTCCTAGAAGGTCACCCATACTGAAATTGCACGCTTAACTGTAGAGTTCTCTCAGGGCAGTTGACCGAAAAGATAAGTGCACTTTGGTGACATAGGTGGTCAAATCAACTCTTTTAACACCACATTCTTGAAACCAAGGTTTTACATTACTTGAAAGGAATCATGGCCACATTGATAAAGTAATTTCGATTGGAAAAGTTGCCCATTAACTTGTTAATCGTTAACTTGTTAATTGGTTAGTGGGGATGTCGTACATGCAAAACGGTTCATTAGAGATTCGAATGTTGCACGGAGAACTGAAATGTGGAATCATTGTTCGTGGGAGCTGTTCATCATAATTGTATATTCGAATGTTGCACGGAGAACTGAAATGTGGAATCATTGTTTGTGGGAGCTGTTCATCATAATTGTATATGCCGTAGGTAATTGATTATCATCGTAATAGGATAAGCTCAAATATCTATAATGATAATGTAATAGATGGTTAAAAAAAAATTTGATATCTGTTATGAGAAAAAGAAAAAGATATATTAAAAATCTTGTAAATAAAAGGAGACTTTTCTTATGAGAAACCTAAATGATACAGATTTGAATTTTCTTTGAAATTTGGTGAAAATTTCATAAGAAAAAAATGAGCTCTGTTTTTACTAGTAATTTCTCAAACAAATATGTTGTAATGTTATATTGGTCGAACTCAAGAAAATTTGGTTTATAGCATACTTTTTCATCTTATTAAAAGTAATATAAAAAAATTAGGTAACTCGTAAGATTTTGCCTATGATATTAACCGTATCGTAATCATCAAATAAACGTAACCGTATTTAACCGTAACCGTTGTAACTGTAACCGTATTTAACCGTATATATAATGGTTAAAGTTACAGTTAAAAAAGTTTATAATCGTAACCGGTGATTAATTAACCGTAATCGTAATAACCGTAACCATGGTCATGCCTAGAAAATTGTAGAGAGATAAGTTTAATTTGATACACCCTCTCTTCCTCAAAAAATGATGTTTTGAGTTTTACACACAATTTAAGAAAAAGTAATTTAAAATTTTTTTAATTATTATTTTGTTAGTTTAATAATATTTGTTTTACTTCTCACCTTTATCTATTGGTCGCAAACAAAAACAATGATGATGTTTTTACAAAACATCAATCTTGGTGGAGCAAGTAAAAAACTCAAAACATCAAATAACTAGGAACAGAGGAAGTCTGTATAGTTTTTATTATTTTAAACTGTTTTTGTTTTTGTCCAAAAAAAAAACTTGTTTTTGTTATTATGTACAGCTTTTGATAAATTTATCTTGATTGGTAACAACAGCTTTGTACAGCTTTAAATTTTGTCACCAATCATAGCCATTTTAAATGTTGGAGAATTGGCATCTCTATATCAAAACTCAATGTAAGTATTTTCACATCTTTTCTATAAATTTTAGATTTTTGTTAGAGACATTGATTTTAGTCAGTGCTTCCTTGTGTTTCCCATTTCTGATTTGCATCATAGATTCGGATTTCAGTTGCTAATTTTCTTCTTAGATTCAGAGTTTCAACAAACTATTTTCATGACTTGTTCCAGAAATCATGTCTTTGGATAGAAATGTTGGAGAACTTACCATGTTTGAATTGAAAACTTGATACTGTTCTTTTTTCTTTGGACGAAGCTTCCTCTCTTGCTAGTTGCTAGTGTAGTAGGACCAATTAGGTAGGTACATGGAAAAAATAATAACCTAATCCTCTGTTTTTTGCTAGGATAGTTTCAAACATGTTTCTTTGTTTAATATTTACATGACTTTTCTTGAAGATATAAAATTATAAATGTTGGAAAATTGGCATCTCTGTACCAAAACTCGATGCTTAACTTTTGACTTATTATTTCTAGTAGTCTGTTTTCATATTTAAGATTTTCTTCAACTTTTCTTTTGTTAGTGGATCTCATTTTTCTAAAGAATAACAAAGACTCGTCATTTTTCTTTTGGTTTTCACTTTTCAGCATGGTCTCTTCATCCACATAGTTCTCTTTAAAGCTCTTTGATATTAATCTTCTCTCCAATAATGGATTCTTCTTGTTTCTTCCTTACCATTATTGCTGCTGCAATAGGATTCTTCTTGCTTTTTAGAAAACTCAGATTCCATCAAGAAGATAACAAAGAAAAGAACTCTTCTTCTTCTTCTTCATCAACACCATCTTCTTTAGCTCCTTCATCACCACCACCATCGTCTTTGGATCGCATCTGGACACACCATGTGTTTCCAAGTTTCCGAGGGGAAGATGTCCGTAGAGACTTTCTTAGTCACATTCATATGGAGTTTCAAAGAATGGGAATCACACCATTCATTGATAATGAGATCGAGAGAGGACAATCCATCGGTCCCGAACTCATTCGAGCAATTAGAGAATCCAAGATCGCAATTATCTTGCTGTCAAGAAACTACGCTTCTTCGAGCTGGTGTCTTGACGAATTGGCGGAGATTATGAAGTGCAGGGAAGAATTGGGTCAAACAGTTTTGGCTGTTTTCTATAAAGTGGATCCATCTGATGTAAAGAAGCTGACCGGAGATTTTGGAAAAGTCTTCAAAAAAACATGTGCCGGTAAAACAAAAGAGCACGTTGGGAGATGGAGACAAGCTTTGGCAAATGTCGCCACAATCGCCGGTTACCATTCGACCAACTGGTTCGTTGTCTTCCTAACAAACATCTAACTATTTACATTTCTAGCTTTTTTTAAATATCCATTGAACTTAAAGTTTTTTTTTTGATGTGTGTGAATTTTCTATAAGTATTTAATGGATGTAGTGATGATCTTCTTTGTTGTTAGGGATAATGAAGCTACCATGATTAGAAATATCGCTACTGATATATCCAACAAGTTGAATAATTCTGCCTCATCAAGTGATTTTGATGGGTTGGTTGGGATGACTGCTCATTTGAAGAAGATGGAACCATTGTTATGCCTAGACTCAGATGAAGTGAGGATGATTGGGATTTGGGGTCCTTCTGGGATTGGGAAGACGACCATCGCCAGAGTTGTATACAACAAACTCTCTAGCAGTTTTCAACTGAGTGTCTTTATGGAATCTATCGAAGCAAAATATACAAGACCATGTTCCGATGACTATAGTGCCAAGTTGCAGTTACAACAGCAGTTTATGTCTCAAATAACCAACCAGAGTGGTATGAAGATTTCTCATTTAGGTGTTGTTCAAGATAGGCTAAAAGACAAGAAAGTTCTTGTTGTTCTTGATGGTGTGGACAAGTCAATGCAACTAGACGCCATGGCAAAAGAAACTTGGTGGTTTGGTCCTGGGAGTCAGATTATCATCACAGCACAAGATCGAAAGATTTTTAGGGAACATGGGATTAACCATATATACAAGGTGGGTTTTCCATCAACTGATGAGGCCCTTCAAATCTTGTGCACATATGCTTTTGGTCAAAAATCCCCTAAACATGGTTTTGAAGAACTTGCTTGGGAAGTTACACATCTTGCTGGTGAACTCCCTTTGGGTTTAAGGGTTATGGGCTCTTATTTTCGGGGAATGTCTAAGCTGGAGTGGACGAAAGCACTACCAAGGTTAAGGAGTAGCCTTGACGCTGATATTCTTAGCATTTTGAAGTTCAGCTATGATGCCTTAGATGACGAAGACAAATATTTGTTTCTTCATATAGCTTGCTTCTTCAATTATAAAAGGATTGGGAGAGTGGAAGAGTATCTTGCAGAGACGTTCTTGGATGTGAGTCATCGGCTTAATGGCTTAGCTGAAAAATCGCTCATATCTATGAACGACGGAGTGATAATCATGCATGATCTGCTAGTCAAACTAGGTATAGACATTGTCCGTAAACAGTCTCTTCGTGAGCCTGGACAACGACTATTTTTGGTTGATGCACGAGAAATTTGTGAAGTACTCAATCTTGATGCGAATGTAAGTTTTGACATTTCTCTCCACAAATCGTGTTGATTTAATAAGTGACCATTTCATATTATTTATGTTCTGTTTTTCAGGGCAGTAGAAGTGTTATAGGTATAAATTACAACTTTGGTGGGAATAGGATCAAGGAAAAGTTACATCTAAGTGAGAGAGCCTTTCAAGGAATGTCTAATCTCCAATTCTTAAGAGTCAAAGGGAATAACAATACAATACATCTACCGCACGGTTTAGAGTATATATCTCGTAAACTTCGATTACTGGACTGGACTTATTTTCCGATGACATGTTTGCCTCCTATTTTCAACACGGACTTCCTTGTTGAACTAGACATGCGTTGCAGCAAACTTGAGAAGTTGTGGGAAGGAATTAAAGTAAGTAATTTTGATTTATTTCTTTTAGATATTTTATTAATTTCAAATTAATAATTTATCTTTTGTACAACTTTATTTTAATTAATTACCAATAGCATGGAAGTCTGTTTTCTAATTAAGTGTATATACATGTTCTTATTATTTGTATGTATAGCCGCTTCCAAATCTCAAGCGGATGGATTTGAGTTCGTCTCTCCTCTTAAAGGAGCTTCCTGATCTCTCAACTGCCACCAATCTTCGGACATTGAATCTTCGTTATTGCTCAAGTCTGATGAATCTCCCTTCCTCTATTGGGAATGCCACTAATCTCGAGTTATTATATCTCGGTGGATGCTCAAGTCTGGTGGAGCTCCCTTCCTCTATTGGGAATCTCATCAATCTAAAAGAATTGGATCTTAGCAGTTTATCATGTCTAGTGGAGCTCCCTTTCTCGATTGGGAATCTCATCAATCTAAAAGTATTGAATCTTAGCAGTTTATCATGTCTAGTGGAGCTCCCTTTCTCGATTGGAAATGCCACCAACCTTGAGGTTTTAAACCTTCGCCAATGCTCAAATCTGGTAAAGCTCCCTTTCTCGATTGGAAACCTTCAGAAGTTGCAGACTTTGAACTTACGAGGATGCTCTAAGCTAGAGGTTCTTCCGGCCAACATCAAATTGGGATCTCTCTGGTCACTTGATCTCACTGATTGCATACTGTTGAAAAGGTTTCCTGAGATCTCCACAAACGTTGGATTTATCTGGCTCATAGGAACCACAATAGAAGAAGTCCCTTCATCAATCAAATCATGGTCTCGTCCCAATGAGGTGCATATGTCATACAGTGAAAATCTCAAGAACTTTCCTCATGCTTTTGACATCATCACACGGCTGCAAGTGACCAATACAGAAATACAAGAGGTTCCCCCATGGGTCAACAAATTCTCTCGTTTAACAGTACTCAAACTCAAGGGATGCAAAAAGCTGGTATCACTCCCACAGATTCCAGATTCCATCTCTGACATAGATGCAGAAGATTGTGAGTCCCTGGAGAGACTAGATTGCTCCTTTCACAATCCAAATATTTGGCTCAAATTTGCTAAGTGCTTCAAACTGAATCAAGAAGCCAGAGACCTCATCATCCAGACACCAACTAGTAAATCTGCGGTCTTACCCGGCAGAGAAGTGCCTGCATACTTCACTCACCAATCTACTACTGGAGGTTCCTTGACAATCAAGCTGAACGAGAAGCCTCTTCCTACATCCATGCGGTTTAAGGCTTGCATTTTGCTGGTTCATAAAGGTGACAATGAGGAAAACTGGATGGATAAAAATGACTGCTATGTTTTTTGTAAAAAAAGTAGGCAACATTTATATCCAGTTTTAGAAGAGCATGTGTACGTATTTGAAGTCGAAGCAGATGTGACTTCCAGCGAGCTTGTCTTTGAGTTCAAGATCAGGAGTAAGAATTGGAAGATAAAAGAATGTGGGGTATTTCAACTCTCGGAGCTTCCTTGATGAATCTTCAGGCTGTCACCAACGTACACTGCAAGAAACTTTTTTTGTCACCAACGGATGGAACTTTTTTTGTCACAGGTCTTATGCTCGTTGTTGCCGCCAAAAAAAACTTCTAACTCTAACCCAAAGACATTGGTGTTTGAAAGTCTTGCTTTTTTAAAACTTATATTGAGTTCTTTTATTGCCTTTGTTGATGATGTGAAGATGTTTTTGTTCTTTTTGGGATGTGTTTAGATCAAACGAAAGACTTGAAACTTCTCTTAGATCTTTGAAATCTGTAGTCTAAGAGCATGGAACAGACATGAACAGAGAGTTTCACATGGTTCCGTCCGTTTTCTACCAAATTCTGATTTGAAGAGTGCATTCATCGAACCAAGCGGTGGCATCGTTATCCTACAAGGAGGGAGGGTATGGCAAAGAAGGTGTAAAAGTGAGGCCTTGCGTTTTACTACGTCGTGTTCTCAACATTAGTTTTGTGAAAATTTTTGCATTTAACCCTCAGATTGTGAAACATTATCTTTGCTACATAAGTTCAATATTAACGGAAATGCTTCATCCGATAGATAGATACTGAAGTCATTGGACTATAAATGTAAGACAACATTAAACTAAACACATATTTCCTATACTAGGAATAAGCCCCCCCCCCCCCGGCAATGTCGCGGGGGAAAAGATTTCAAAAAATTTTAAAGAAAAAAATATCAAACGAAATGTAATAATGAATTGAGGCAACAAGTTTCAAAACAATTTTTCTTAACAATAAATAAAGATATATTTTTAGAAAAAATATGATAAAGAGACGTAAACCCTAAAAAATATTTTTTAAGATTTTTCTTATTACTAGAAAACATTATGATGAAAAGATGCGATCATAAATAAAAAAAATTAAAGAAAAAGTTATAATGAGTAGATACAATTTTCCAATTTTCTAAACTATTATAAATATAACTATATAAATATATTCAACAAAATATTACGATAAAAAGACGCAATATTTTAAATGGTATTATGTTAAAAAGAGACAATCTTCGGAAAAATTTAACAAATAACCAAAATAGATAATTATTTAGGAAAAAATAATAATGATATAGATAACAAAGTATATACATGAATGTTAAATAGCAAAAAATTAAACTTTCTATGAAAAATATCAAATAAAAAGAAATAAAAAATTTACACCACTTTAAAATATATACATATAGAATTAAAATGACATGAAAGTTTAAATAGAAAAAAATGTTTATAAAATACACAATTAGTTAAACCAAGTGTTTGCGATGAAAAACACGAATAAAACATGGTGAAAAGATAATACTCTAAATGAACAGATATAACTTTAGTTAATGCTTTGTTCAAAAAAAAAAACTTTAGTTAATGCTCTAAAAATGTATTGCAACGGTTTATCAAATATACGTAAAGTTGTAATAATTCATCAAATAAACTAAAGTTACAATAGTTCTTCAAATATATCAAATATTGTAACGGTTCATCAAATAAGACAAAATGTTCATTTAAATAAGACAAAATGTTCATTGGTTCTTCAAATAAACCAAAATCTTACTGTGGAAGTCGGATTCACACACTCAAGTATTTTTTATTAATGGGAAGATTATTCTTGAGGGACAAAAAATAAGAATGTAAAAAGCTTATGAATTGCTACAAAAATTGCTATAGTATTTCTTGCTCGAAGAAAAAATCCCCTTTACATGGCCCTTGGCCTTTTTATTTATACATAGAAAAACGATATTAAAATGAATAATTAAGTACAATTATTCTCTCTTAAATGTGTCCGTTTTAATCTTTGACTTTAATGCTCAACGTTTGAATTTGAGTTGACTCTGATCTTCATGGGCCTCGCCTTTTGGCCCAAATGTCCTTGAACCGACTTACCCGTGCCTTCTACGCCGGACTCATGTCGAAGTGCACTCACTTCGGATTCTCCTTGTGGTGATAACCACTTCGACTGTTCATTTGGCTCACGGGTCCAATGGGCTTTATCCTTTATGGGCCATTATCTTGACTACGTGGCAATCTTTGGTTGGTCTCGGACTTCTGGTGCGGGATCCGACACCAACAATTAGCCCCCTAAGTTATTCGAAGTGCTATTCCAATTCGGAGGACTTTAAATGCTTTAATGACTAAAGATTGCGTTCTGAGGAATCTTCTGATTTTTCCCGCTAAGATCCCATCAGTCCTTTAATTTCGGCGCTACCCATATTTAGTCGCGTGACATCTGTCGCCATTATGACCGTATATCGATTATTTACTATTAAAGCGGGAAAAACCTTCCCACTTCTTCCACAATTCCCAAGACGGTTCCATCATTATCACCTAGCTTGCGTGAGGTAACCTTCTTTTTCATTTTTACTTTTACTCTTGTTATTTGTGGTTAAAACTCCTTCTGCTTCTCTCGCCAAATTTTTTTTTTCCTGAAACTTGAATTTTTCATTCTTCCCAATGACTTCCGATTTCGATAGACCCGAGTCTCCGTCTTTCGATGAGAGGCGTTCTAGTAATGATGAGTGCACCCGCCCTAATGATATTGCCGGTCCGCACTATAGATCCACCTGCACCCTTCAATCCCTTGAACGATTGAAGGAGCTCTGCCGAATCCCACCGGGAATTATGGCGGAGGCGCAGATAGCTGATCCTACGGAGTCCCCAGAAAGCCACCGCGACTGCTACTTCTGTGTATACGAGATCTATTTTAAAGGTTGCGGGCTGACCTTTCCCCTTCCCGAAGCCTTAGTTCGATACCTAGCGGCTCTTGAAATTTCTCTTCCTCAATTAACCCCTAATCTTCTTCGTACTATTCTTGGAATTATAACGATCGCGGCGGAGGCCGGATACGTTATCGGAGTCGCTGAGCTAAATGAGCTTCTAAGCGTGAGAAGTTCATCGAAGAAAACGGGGTATTTCTCAGCATATCCAAACGCCAACAGAAATATCATTTCGAATCTTCCGAACAAGGATGAAAATTGGCACCATCCTTGGTTTCTGATTAAGAAAACTCCCGCTTCTATCGGAAATCTTGCAGATTTACTCCCTTCGAAGTGGTCTGCGAAACCTGGTAGAGATTAGGTTGCATATATCTTTCCCGGTTGTTTTATTATCTTTATTGACTAAAACTGTTATTTCATTTCGCAGCTTTCGTCGCTCCGACTCTCCCATCTGAAGCATTCATTGAATCTTCAAAATAATTCTCGAAGGGGAAACCCTTTGGAATTCTTTCAGTCTTGAACGATTTTTAGAAGCCAACCACAGGCTCAGGATGAGCCCCCCAGGTCAACTTCACCAACTCCCGCCTCCTCCCTCAACTCAGGGGATGTCATCTCGGGCCCTTGCGGCCAAGCGCAAGGCGCTCTCCAAGCAGATAGCTGAGGCTTGCGAGGAGAAAAAAGAGTTTGTTGCGGCTTCTATAGATAAGAAGGACTATAGTAGGACCTTGCTGGTTGATGATGGCAGCACCGAAGGGGTCAGATCCATCGCTTCTTTCAGATTAACTCCTCGTCGCGATCGTCGTGACGCACGTTCTCCTCGGAGGGATTGATCTCTTCGCCGTGATTCACCTCGTCCTTCCCGAGATGATTTTAGCAATGAACCACTTAAGAACTTGGTTCGCAGGAAGAGAGACAAGTCCTCTCGTGGTGATTCTTCCCCGCGAAGGGAGAAGTCAAGGGCCCGGACTGACCGTTCACCTCGATCATCCCCTCCTACTGAACCAATGGGTCCTCCTCGACCGGTTGATATGTCTTCCTCTTCCCAGCCTGACAGCGAAAAGACTGCCTGGAGCGCATCTCCTAAAAAGGGAGATTCTGAATCTCGAGATGCTTCCTCGTGGTTAAAGCCTGCTCTTGTCCCTCAAGTCAAATCGCTTTCAGGTTTGGTAATTTACACATACTTAAAAGTTTTTGTCTCTATTCAGCGTCTTCCAATGCTTCAAGACCCGATCGGGTTCGATCTTGCCAGACTTCAACAAGTGGCGCCCTGCGATTCGTGAACGCTATTTGCTTCATGCTTATCATTCATCTCGAGTTAGTTCTGCTTTATTTTTCCAATTGTGCTGCCGTTCTTCGAAATGACTCACTATCCCGGTTTTATGCATAATGCCAGGCTAACGGTGAGCTTAATGACATGATTGAACATTATGAGGGGCTGGGCATTTATCGGGAAAAGGAGATTGACGCGTGGAAGAAAAAACTTTCTGCTCTTGAGGCTGAACCAAGCTCTTCTACCGGCTCCAAGCACGATCTGGAGGACAAGGTCGACAGTCTAACATCCGAGCTTGCGAAGATAAAGGGGGAGCTGCAGGACCAGTACGACCAGAATTTCAAACTCCAGGATGAGCTTTCTGGTGTTCAGGGTAGGCTTCACGAATCCGAATCAACCGCCGATACCCTGAATAACCAACTTATTGAGCTTAACGCGAAGTACAAGGCGATCACTAAGTTACGTGATTCCGAGTTGGCAAAGTCGGCATCAAAAGCCAGAAAAGAGGTTAAGGGACGCGGGATGGAGTTGATCCAGGGGGTCATCCGCTTCATTCAAACCGAGAAAGCTAGGACAGATTTGGAATCAGACATCAAGGAGCACGAGAGCAACCTGATTCTGTTGGATCAAATCCATGACACAGATTTTTCCGAGGTGCGAGAGAGGACCGAACTGTCGGCTAATCTATCTGAAAAGCGGAGTCGCTTGGCAGCTCTTCCCACTTTGACCTTCAACCCGCAGGACTTCGAGGAATTCTTCACTGAATCGCCTCCTATAAGTGAATCTGGTCTAGACTGGGCAGGTAACGCTTGGCTCCTGACACTTACTACCTTTTTCTCACCTTATTTTTTAAAATTTACTGGAAGCGTCCTTCCCAAGCTCAAGTGAGACGGAAGATGTCGTCCCACCCGAAGTTCCTGCGGCACCGGAGGTCACCCCGGAGGATGGTTGTACTGTGGAGGGCGGACCAGGAGCTCCATCTGACCAAACACCAGTCAAGGAGGCGAATGAAACTTCTACTACTGAGCCGGAGTCCGAGGTGGCTGTCACTCCGTAGTGGCTGCGTCCACTTTAAATTGGGAATTGTCCCATTTATTTTAAAACTTAATTTCGAACTTGTTTTTGCCTAAGGAGGCTTTATTATTTCTTTGAACAAGATATTTGCCTGAGGAGGCTTTTAAACCTTTCTAGGTTTTGACCCAAAGAGGGTTTGGTTAAAATTATGTGCGGGTTTGCAAAGTCCGCTTTTAACCCTTTGTGGCCTTGTGGTTATGCTTTCGAGATTTTTAGACTGATCAGACCTTTCTCTTTAGAATGCGAGAACTAAGCTCGGCTTAAAGCGAGTTCCCCACTTCGAGTTTAGTCAACTCGGTAAATTTATTGGGCTTGGGCCTTTGAAACTTTTGTAGTTAATGCGACGGTTGCTCTTTCCCTTCTTATTTCTTAAAAGTAGGAAAAGAGGCTCGTCTTTAATGCAATAACTGCCTTTTCTTGATTTCCAAAAATGGTTTAAGTTACTTGGGCACGCCATCATTAATGATTTTTTGTTTCCAAGACAAACCCTATT